AGTGCATCGCTACTAGGAACAAGTGCATCGCTACTAGGAACAAGTGCCTTACTAGTAGTAACAAGAAGCTAAACCTTCACCCATTGGCACATATATTGACATATTGCGTATTATTGCATCACTAATTGCATCTTCGTACCATTTTGCACGCATACCAGTGCACCAGGAACATCATGGAAATAGGGTAGTGTCACCTTCAATTTTCACATGTTTTCACCATGTCTTTCACCCGCTTTTCCAGTGGCAAGGCCTTGGGGCTTGCTTCTTGGGCTTGCCTCTTTTTCCATTCTGCTCCCGGCTCGAGGTCGGTGGGTATCCCGGGGACCTTGTACTTTTGTTAGGCCATGATGTCCTAGGTCCGCATAGACACTGTTGAACCCACCCCAAACTTCTCAAATCTCCAGGTGGGCCAGGACGATGATTTGCTTGCCGACCTCCTGTGTGATGGGCCGCCGCAGCTCCTTTTGGTGCGCTCCCTGCCGGTATGGGCAGGACCGCTTTGATATCCATAACTGCCTGCAGACGGGCCATAGGGATTGTAGCAGACTGCTCCAGCGGCTTTAATCTTCTTATATCGTCTTAATCCAAGAACTTACGCCAGGGATGTGTCTATCAAATAATTAACATGTACTTGCCCTTTCCTATACCTGGCAATGTCCTGAACCTCCACATGCGCGGCCTGACTGACCCTCCAGAAATCGGATTCTGTTCGACAGGGATCGGGCCCTGGAGGCACCAGGGAGACCTTGTGATCCTGAACTTTTGCAATCCATCCATTGAGCCCCGTGAGAAAGTTCACTGGTCTGATGGATTCATCGTGGGGCAGTTCATTGGACTTCACTGAAGGTGGTATGCAATGCATTCATGTCTTGAGAGAAACACCTCGTTTTGACAGATGAGTTCTGGAAAAGAGGCCCTGGAAGTCCCACCCGTGAAAGCCCAGAAAGCTCGTGAACAGTGGCCTTGGCGCCCCAGCTCGTGGGCCGTGTCAGGACTCCTGGACGAGATCGAGCGTGGTGAAGTAGAGCTACAGGATTTGGATGAAGGCCCGGAAGCAAGTCTTAGATGAACTGAATGAGTGACTAGGGTTGTGCATGGTTGTGCTAGGCTGCACTATATTGTTTTTTGTACTATGCCACCTTAGGCCATTCTGCTTGCTTCCAGTGATTTCGATTTTCCATCTTGCATGGGCCTATTGTAGGCAACACCCCCAGCCCTCATCAGGAACAGTCACTATGATGCTTGAGAACCACACAATCATGTCATGTCAAGGTTTTTGGACACCAAATCCAAAGTTGGTCTTCCAAATACTTTGTTGAGGCAGACCGAGGAATTATCGTTTATATTCCATTCTTGCTTTGGGTCCTTCTATTTTTGGAGGCCTCCCATGATGTTGCGACCACGTTCCCCTTGGAACGCCAGGTGCCCGAAATGACTTTCCGCTGGTGCTCGCGGCTGTGCGAGCCAGCCAGGGGCGAGCCTTAGAACATGTGGCCTGGCTGAGGGGGCGAGCCCTTGGCGAGAAATCACGACCCACGACCTGTCGCGCATGCCCAGTTGGTCAATATCAAGGAATGCAGAGCTAGGATTTTGTGGGTGGTTTTCCAAAAGGAAATGTTTCAGCTGTTCGCGGTTCGTTTTGGGCCCATGGCACAGCACGCACCCGCAAGATGAGATGCTGTCAAAGGCTTTTGTGCCTTTTTGGTGCTTTGGTGGCCCTGGGGTGATGGGATGAAGCTGCTTTAGATGGATTCTCAGCTTCGAGACATCCTTGTCTGCATCCATACATGTATACTCATGATAATTACTGTATACCTTCAAACAGCCAGCAAAACTTGTGCAATCATGGGATTTCCTCCATACTTGTGACTGGCATCCAGGAAAAAGAATGCGTCAGGCCTATAGGGCCTATAGACTCATAGCTCCTTGACCACGTGGAGTTTCCATCCAATCACCACCCTTCAGGGTGGTGCTGGTTGAGATTTCCAGCGTCGAACCTTCTCCCATAACCAGGCCTCATGGGCGCTTCGTGGCGAGAAGGCACGTGTGCCACCGAATTCTGCGAATTGCGCGGGAGCATGCCATCAACTTTATAGGGTAGATGACCCAATCAATCAAGGTCACTAAAGGTATTTAAACACATACACTCCCTGAAACTAACATGGAAGTGGAGAATGGCCCCGTAAGGAAGATCATTGTCCACTACAAACAGGGGGTTTTCCACGCTAGTTTTCGGGGGTGTATTATGTTATAATTCACTGTGTGCAACCGTCTAGAGAGAGACACGCGCTGGCTCAGCCCATCTCTGGGACCAGGCCATCGTCCTGGAGGCTGTCAAGCGCAACGGCTTGGCTCTGCGCCATGCGCAGATGACGCTGCGGGCGGACCGTTGGGGGCCAAGTTCTGCTGGAGCTGAGAAGGGGTTTCCCGGTTGAGGCAGCCGTTTAGGGACACATATTATGTATACTTACAACAGGTGTAGCGCTGACAACCCAGCGATCCTGAAGAAACAGCAGGACGAAGTCAGAAGAGGAGAAGGAGGAAGAAGACGATGATCTGTGATCGTGTGTGAGTTTCGTTCAGCCTGGGCCCGCACTTTTGTAGTGTATGCCTTGTTTTAAAGCGCATACTCCAGGATATTATATAGAGGTGTCAGAGGCCCATCTTCACGTCAGTGAGTGATGCCAATCTTTGCTCTCCATGCAGCACCGCGTTCCGCGCGCGCACACCCCGCGTACAGGTGACGTGGTTCTGACGGCGGTGCGCGATTGCCCCTTGGCCTTAGAGCACGCTGCTGAGACCGTGCGGCGCGACCGGGACGTCGTGGTGGCTGCACTGCGGATCTCAGTGAAGGCGGCAGGTGGACTTAGCCAGGACCTCGCAGGGGTGCAGGAGGATGGAGGATATCGGGGGCATATGAGTCACATGAGGGTATATAGTTGACTCATTGCTTTCAACACTTTTGTTCTGTTCTACATTTATGTAATTACTGTAAATGGTTTGGTGAGGTGGTCCAAAGCAGAGGTTGATGATGTTTATTTAAGACCTGTGCTAGGCCTGGCAACGCAGCGCTTAAAAGCAGTTAAAGGTAATAAATGGTAACAATGAGACTAGTTTTGCATCCAATGCAGACACTGGGTAGCCACACTCCACCACACTCCACACTCTTTTCTTTTCAGTTTCGCGTTGTGTTCATACAAAACGGATCTTAAGGGCATTGAAACAGAATGTTTCGCCGCAATCACTTCGCACTGACTGGCGCGAGATGCAAAGAAAGATGCAGACCTGGGTTGCTGCAAACGGTTGAAAAGGTTTTATTCTCAGGAGCTTCGGCAGGATCAACCTTTTGCCTTGGAGCTGCTTCGGACCTTCCCTGGAGCCTGGGTCTATTTGGCCAAAGAGCTGAAGGACTCTCGAGTTCCTCGGCAGAATTGCCCATGTGCACCGGATGGTTTTTCTTCTCTCGGGGTGTGCCTTCTCATGAGCTGTCCTGTGTCATCCTCTCGTCCGAATGCCCTAGATTTGCTTCAATCCTGGGGATTGGAACAGTCATGTTCTGAGACAGCCCTATGAGGGGCTGAAAGATGATTCGAAGCGGCCTTCTCTCATGCCTATTCCGAGAGAGGTCTTCCAGACATTATCCTTTGGACCTTCTTTCCAACAACTGGCGCGGTGAAGCCTGAAATAGTGCAGTGGGAGAGCTGCATGTCATTGCTAGTGGGGATGCCACCCAATCAACATGTACATGTAACGTGTTGTAAAAACAGTAGACACATGTCCACACCACACAATCCAAATCTGGCCAACTGCTCGTACTGTAAGTTTCCTTGGGCATTTGGCCAGGCGGTTGTGTCTTATTTCAAACAACCTTGTTCTAGCCTTTGCCGCCCCTGTGCAGTACGAACACCCAGCATCCCAGGATTTCCTGCTGTGTGCCCTGCAGCAGAACGGTGAGGTGCTGCGCTACGCAGCTGGCTGGCACTCCGACGCCGAGGCAGCACTCACCGCTGTGCAGAAGGCCGGTGTTGGATCTGGGTGGGAGGCTTTGGAAGAGCTCTCGCAAGAGTTAGCCATGAGACGCGGCATCTTAGCATGTGGGATGAACACCTACTCGATTGACAGAATTGCGCAGCAGGAATGTACCTTGTTGTGCTCAGTGGAAATGATCTTCAAAGATGTTGAAGGTGCATGAAATAAAATAGTTGAGATATCGATTGTAAGGAGCAAGGCTAACTATACATAACTATACATGGACGCATCAATGCAAATGGCCTTCATCAATGCAATATAATTGCAACGAACTGGACTTGCACCACTTCATCTGTCGAATTTTGATCATCATGAGCAAACTGAGAGAATGGCCGTTGTGTACCCAGAAGATTGGGAAGACTTTTGCTTCCCAAGTTGCTGATATTTCTATATATCTATCTATATATTGTATATACGTATTTTATGTTCAGAGAATAAGTATATCACAGAGAGAGAGAGAGAGAGATACATATCATATTTCCCCTCATTTTGAGGCCTCACATGCAGTGCATTACGTGGACTCACGATTGCGACAGCGAGGAGAGTTGCTTGAGCTGGGACGTAATTGGTGTCGCTGTGGTCGGATTGGGGTGCAACGTGTGGGCTTGTTTCTAATAGCTTCTTGTTACTACTAGTAAGGCACTTGTTACTAGAAGCGATGCACTTGTTCCTAGTAGCGTGGGTCAGTAAAAAGACCCAACCTAATAGCCATGGCCTCCAAACTAATAGTGATGGCCTCCACCGTAATGGCGATGGCCTCCCGAAAATGAGCTAGCTGCTAGGAAGCTCGTTCCGTTCATGTTTCTGATATGGTTCGATGTTCAACCTTGGGTCGGACTCCTCATCCACATCAGTTGGGCCGGCTGAGGAAAGTTCAAGGCACATGGAACTTAGCATCAAGTGGGAGGGATTCAGGCAAAACCCAGACCAACTGTATAGCTGCCAGCTCACGCAACCAGTGGTAACCTGTTACCTGAGAACTCTCCGTGGGAGGAGGCCGGTCGGAGGGCGTTCGTTTGCCCCAGGTTTGCTCGAGCTGCAGTGATGGTGAATCCCTGGGCCTTCGAGCAGTTGCTCGTTGAATCCTACGCAAGAGCGTGGGGAGGGGGAGGGGATGGGGAGAATTTGGAATGTTTTCAGATGTTTTCAGATTTTGGGTTGAACCACTTCCAGCAGGGTGCTGGATCTTTCTTTCTTCTGATTCGGGCAAGCTTCCCAGAAGTCCAGAGAACCTGCCAGTAGAAATCCATGAATCCGGAGACCGGGTCGATCGGGTAGACAATATTAGACGATGAGTTAAGAGTGCAACTGGGGAATCCAAAGATGTCAAGCCGTTTATCTCTCCTTTTCAGGCTTGGTTCTCATCACCGTGGCAACCTGCAGCTGGCATTGGCGGCGGCCCGTGCACGGCCGGCCCTGGCGCAGTTTGCGGGCGAAAGCATCAGAAATGACGCTTGGAGCTGGGGACTACGTGCTGTTCAGCAAAAAGCACCCGGGAGAAATGCTTTAGGCCACAGACACAACGCTTGGGCTGGATGTACCAAGAAGTTCCCGAGTTTTGCTCTTTTCCGGGGTGGCTTATTAATCCAAAGTAGACCCTGACAAGGAGTTTCATTTGCCAAACCCTCTTTGGAAGAGCAATGTAATTGTTAAGGGGTCCGGGGTCACCAGAAACAACCACTCCGTTGCTTTGGCTATTCTTGGTTTTGTGTCGGGTTTTGATTTTTGAATTATGTAGAGCTCTTTGGCTCTCATGCCTCGCGCAAGTTAGGAAGTGGTCTACTTGATCAAGAAGGAGCAGCCCCACGTCTGGAGCAGGGGCTGAAGCAACACGTGTCCCGGGCAATTTGGGCAACTCACCAGCTGGTAAACCAAGACATCCCAGATAGCACTGATCCCCAACGATGGTTCCTGAGAACATGTTGTTTGTTTTGAGGGCCCTGTGGCTAAAATGATGGCGGGCCTGGAGGCCAACCAAGAGGTTTTCTTTGAAGTATTTTGAGTTTACTGCTGTTTGACCCAGAGTTTGGGGCGCCCCTATTTCGAGACGCACCCCTGTTGGATCTCCAAGGAACACGAACCCGGCTTCATGTTTGCGCCATCGACACTCACACCCTCTAAGTAAAAGCATTTGGTGGATTGGGTTTCATGGATCCATGGAGCGATTTGGGGAGGAACCCCATTCTTTGATGTTCACAGGAGATGGTAAATCACGACAAGCCATGTAAATTCATGCAACATCATGTCATCTATGTATGTGGATTTGTCCCGGCCCGTTTTTGGCAAAGTTGAGCCCTACAGTCACTTGGGTAGCTCAATGTGGTTCTACTTGACAGCTTTGTGTTTGCAAGAGCTGGCTATCAAGGACGACTGAGCATACCTTTTCATACCCTTGCCACGTTTTAGACTCTAGGCGCCGAGGGGTCAGACATAAGTTGCTTGAAAGGAACCCCCCACCCATGCTACTAACCAAATAGGTTTCTGATGAGGAGCTCCTCCCCACTTGCGCAGTGGATCGAACATGGGGAAAGAGCCAGCTATGGCATAGCAGCATAGCACGAAGTGTGACATATACAGACAGCTTTATGAACCATGCCTCGGAAGTCAACATAACGTTTACATAATGCGCCCTATTTAAAAATTTGTCAGTTCATGTCCTTTCCAACGCCTTCCCGCAACAAAACGACATGAGTGTTGCAGCCCCACAGTAGGGAAGCAAACAAACGCACCAGCAAGAACAATCAAAAAAAGATCTACAACAATTCCTTCCACCAGAAGCCCTTGTGGCAGAAAGAGAGTGTACGAACCGGGAGACGTCCAGAACCAGGTCCGAGGCTGTGGGCGCGCCGCAGGGCTATGTGGAGGGCCCCGTGTGGTGGACGCCGGAGGCTTTCAAGCCGCTGGTAGAGACGACGGGCCAAAAAGCGGCGCCACGACGGTGCGTTTGGATGGCGGTGGCGAGGTGATGGATGCTGGTGCGGATGGAATGGAATTGTAGCTGAATGAGTCATGATAAACGTTGAATTGGACCAGCTTCGACATTCAGTGGGTCATAACGAATTTGACCCGAATGTGATTGTTTTTAATGTTGAGTGGCACGAGATGTTGGGGGTTTGAAAAGCGATGAAGTGATGCTGGGAAACCCACAACAGCACAATTTCTTGGATCTCTATCAAGACGATCGATGACATTTTAAAAGATTAGTCGTTGATATGGCAGGGTTGGGCTCAGCAGGTCACCCGCCTGCTCTTTTTTTGGTAGATGAAACCATGAACAGAATCTGCGCCTCCTGGCTCATGAAACCATGCCATATGATATCCATATTCAATGGATGATACAATTGAGATCTCTCTGTGCAACTGTTGCACTTGCCATGGGTTCATTCAGCTGAGGAAACTGAGAGGCACCTGGCTGTTAGGTGTGTTCGACCTTGGATACAAAATGCCTGGTATGTCATAGAATCATAGAACTGCGTTTTTGGATCTTTTTGGCTACAAGCTTCAAGTTCCTTGCCTGACCATTTGCGGTCCCCGCGGACGAGATTTGGCTCGAGGACCATGTAAGCGACACGATGTAGGGCTCCATCTGACTGTGACCTAGCAGCCCTAATACGAACACCTCGCAAAGCATGCAACATCAGCACTGGCACTGGAATGTGACAAGCAGCGGGCAAGCATGTTGTGTGAGCTGCTTGATGGAACATGCGGTAAATGGTGGAGAGACCACTGAACCCAAGTGCACACGATACCCAATTTGCTTCAAGACAAGCCCAAGATCATTCCGAGGGCTAGGAATGGGCAAAGTGGGTAGCGCCAAGGTGGGGACCGAACTTTAGGGGGGGGGGGCTGGCTCAGTTGGTCCTGCTTCCATGTCAAAAATGTCGAATGGTTCGCACAGGTCAAGAAACTACCGCCTGTCAAACGAAGTGGGCTGGGGCAAAGTGCACCGTCATATACCATCATCATGGAGCACCACATCCGATCTAAAACCCACCAGGCCGAGCCCAAAAAGGAACCAGCAGAGAAGGCAAAGGCGTGGCCACAAGACCTTTCCGGTGCTGCTGTGGCGACTGCCACCGGAGGTCCGGGTTAGATGATGCTAGATGGCTGTTGAGGACTACTTGGACTTTTGTGGCACAAAGGGTGTTTTGCACCGTGCAGTTGTTTGGTTCCTGGCGTGCTGGAACGAGCATGCACGAGCATGGAACGAGTCCGGGGTGTGCAAGGTAGCTGGAGGTAACAACAGGCAACACAAGCCAGTTATGTTGGTATTGGTATGTCTCCGACATCTTGCGCAAAAGCGCGCAGGCGGCAGACAAGAGCAAAGATGCAAAACCAAAGGCAGAAGCAAAGGCCGTGGCTAAGCTGAAAATTACGCAGGCATTGAAGTGACCTGAAGCAAGCATGGGTTCCAAGTTGCCAGCCATTCTGGGATCCCTAGAGAAACACTTCTTATATTTGGCGTTGGATTCTGACCTTAGAAGTTGGACACACCGGATCTTCCTCACTAGGGAACTGTCTTTTTATTTTCAGTGTTGTGTTCACCGTCCATGAGTGCATGCCTCCTAAACCTTTGCCGACCAGAGATTGCAGGGCCTCTCCATTGAGGACGCTGGCCGTGTCTTTGTTGTGGATCAAATCTGCTATGACCCCCTCTCTGGTTTTGTATTTCTGGAATTCGACGTGGGCAGACAGGAGCCTGCGAAGGAGGATCCCAAGGCAAAACTGCCCGACTCTCAGCGCGAACCGCGCCAATCTCCGCTTCATCTCGGCAGCAAGATCTCAAGTTCCCCACAAGTTATCATGGTGTAGTGGTGTAGTGCCAGAAATGGATATGACATGACATGACTGGCTTTGTGTGAAACCTGATATACAATGATATGATAATATACAGTTAGTTTTGTTTAAAACCAAAACCTAAAGGCAAAAGCCCCTCCCCAAAAAAACATGTTATTTTTTGAAGTTGCTTTTGCCTTTAGATTTTGGATTTCGAACCGCTACATTGGGGGAATATCCGCGTCATAGCCTAGCAATAGGTCATGGCAGTCTTTCACCCACCCGGATATAAGTGGGGGAGCGCTGAGGTTAGAAGAAGCCAAGCAGAAATATGCGGATGATGAGCCTCTCGGCCCAACATGAGGTATACACAAGTTGAGAGGAACGTCTTCAGCAGAATTCATCTCAAAATAGATGCAGAATTCATGGCTGCTCTTGAGAACTTAGCAGTGGTTTCCTGTTGTACAAGAGGAGAAATCATATAGGAGGACGTTGCAGTTGCTGTTGCATCATTGGATGTGTTTCAGAGCTGCTAGCGGCCGAGGCGAGATGAACTCGCACGAATTGAACTGCTCGAGCCCAAAAGATTTGAAGTTGTACGACGCTTGCTGATTGAATTGAAAACTGATGATCAGCCGATGTTACTGAGGCGGAAGCAGAATCGAGAGACGAAGGTGGCGGGTGGACACGAGCTGAAACATCCGCACATGAAACATCATGCCCATACTCGCCCCAATGCCCATGCTAGGGTGTGCCACACCCTCCCACTGATCGCCCATCACCCACAGTACTTTGGGACTTGGGATGGACAGCAGGGGCCGCGATGAGCTTCCATTGAAGGAGTGGAGATGAGTTGAGGTGTTTGTCGTATGAATCCTTTCAATTGCACCCCAAAAGGCCACCATGAATTGAGTAGTGAATGGCCGAGTGGCCCACCTTTGTGAGCGAAAACACACCCAGCTCCCGCGAGGCCAAAGGATCCCAGCTCTCCGGGCCACTGGGCGAAAAGCGACTCGCTCGGTGGTGAAGGATGTTTGGTCATCGACCCGAAGGCTTCAAGAGAGAACCAAACCCTGCCACCCTACTTCGCTGGTAGCTGATGGAAGGACCCCTCAAAGATCCGGATTTAGGCCCTTTTTCATCCGGACCTTTCTGACAGCTAGGCTGGCTAGAAAGTCATGGAAAAAACACGATCTCCTCTTACAAAGGTCTCATATCACTTCCATGCCGGCAACATCCCATTGCGATACAGGCCTGACTGTTGTGTCCAAATGGGAACTGAGATAAACTGAGAGGTATCAACGGTTCTTTCCACAGACATTGAGAGATCAGATGAGAAGGACTTCTCCCAGTGCACGTCGGACCACGGCCGTGGGCGGCTCGAGGAACCGGGACAAGAGCATTGCCAGAGTAACTCGCTTCCAGAACAGGCCCGGCTTTCTGCGGTGGCAGGCCACTGCCACTGCCCCCCTGGTAGTGGATGTGAACGGCGCAGAACACACGTGGGGTGAGTCTGGTTTTCATGAAACGAAGTGATGCATGAGAAACGAATCTCACTGAAACTCGTGCCGGAAGCATGGACCTCAGCGAGGATAGCCGACGATATTTTGCTGCCTACGTTGCATACCGCTTGACTGTGCGTTTGGCTCAAGACTGCACGTATTTTTGAGGCCAACGTGTCGACACCACGTTCCCCGGTGAGCTGTGGTAGAAAGGAGAGGAGTCATGGCCAGCTTTGCACCTCGCCCACAGGTTTCAAACACCCTGGCAATTCAGTTTCACCTAGATAAGTGCCCAACAACCTTTGCACAAGCTGCGGAGCTCTTCAAGGACCATGATGTGGCCCGGTTGGACATGTCCTTCGCACCCTGTACGAACCTGGTTCTTGTGACCTTTTACGATGTGCGGGTGGCCCAGCAGGTCCTGAAGCGCGTAAAGCCCTTTGGTTGGCCTGCTCGGGAAGGGATGAATGACTTCCGCTCGGTGAGGTTGTCGATCTCTGAGTTTGCAAGTCTTCCGCAGCACGACAGAGGCTTTGAGAGGTTTGGTGAGATTGCAGGGCTTTCCAGCTGCGGTGATGACATGCTTATACCTGGGTCTTCATAAGTATGCATTTTTTCTGCCTTTTCAATCAAAACTGCTTTTTCAAACAAACACCAACTATTTTGCACTGAAGCACTTTTTGCATTGACATGTTTTCTATGGTAAGTCAAGGTTTTGAAACGGCGACTTTTGCCAACTGCTAATTTGGCAACCTCTGTAAAAACATCGAAACGTCACTTTTGAAATGAAACGGCGTTTTTGACGGCAAACGACTGAAATTTGTGATGTTTCGCCAAACGGCATTAAAAAAACACACCCGTAGAAGGTCCAGAAGGTCCAGGTATATACTGTAGAATTCTATGATATGCATGCTGCTCTTCAGTGCAGCATGTCTATCCCTAGCAGTCAGCCCGAGAAGTGTGGACCAATGTGCCACGAGACCGGTGATACTGACACGGACATGACCGATTGGTCCAATGCTGCCAACACAGACCGTGGAAGACCCTTTCTCTTGGACGCAGGCCGGAGGGGGTGCTAGCCCGAATTCGAGGTGCGTGAAAAGAGTTGGCAAACATCAAGAGAGCATCCAAACCATTGTTGCTCGTGCTGCCCGTGGAGGTGCAAACACACGGAGGTGCTAGCAGACATTTGATTTCTTTTGCATGTGCATGTGCCCCACTGCCGAACAGTGTAGTGTAGGATGTGTAGGAAACTTGATGGCCTTGAGACGGACGATGCTATACACACTGACTAAGTCAGGAACAACGCCGTTCGCAGCTTCTTCTGCTGGGTGAAAGCGCCCCGCGGTGACCTGCAAGTTAATGCAAGATGTGAGTTTCAACACAGCCTCTGATGCGATCGCCCGGACATGTAAGGGCACGCAACCTTGAGTTTCAATTGGCCCACATGTTTCCGTACGGCCATCAAACGGAAAGCAGAGCGGATTGTCTGGAAGTTTATTGCAGTTTCCATTTTATGGAATTGAGCTGGAAGACTTGAATCTTCTATGGTAGTTGATCAAAAGGTCACCACGAGGCCTAGGTAGTGGCCTAGGTTCATTTGGAGCCTCTTATGTCTTTCGTGAAAGTTGATTGAGTTCAAGATGCTCTTTTGCAAAAGATCTGCGAAAGATAGGTTTACGGATACCAAACAAAGAAGACTGCTATAGCATAATTATACAGCTGTCATCCCGCGAAAGTTAATTAAACATTGCGAAAGATTCGCGAAATGTAAAGATTAACTTTTGCGAAGAGTTGCGTTTCGGGAAGAAGGAATTGAGATCAACCACCAAATTTAGAGTCGAATCTTCGAAGCCCTTCTTCCTTGTTGGTTCTTCTGTGCGCTTGCTCTTGCTTGCTCAAGAGCGGAGCCATGGATTAATTGTTTTGGCGTTTGACGGGACGCAGGTTTTCAGGTTTCGAGGTTTGCGGTCGGACACCACCGAAAGTGGGGCGGCAAACAACCCCGAAGTGCACCATGTTCCGCACTTCGTGTGAAGCGCGGCTGCTGCACTAGGCTGTGTGTCTCAACATGTGGCACCAGGGATATTTTCCTACATGTTCCTACAATACAAGTGATGTTCCTGGGTTATGGCGTATTCCTGCCATGCCGCCTGAAACTCATTTGGCCAGTGGAATTTGCGACATCCACGGTAGATCATCGCATATCCTTGCACCCCACTTCCAAACATCTTCCAAACAGTCTTCCAACCTCATTCAACCTCCACCACTGACTGTCCAACCATCTCGTTTTGCCTCGCGCGCGACCGACCGTCCCCATCGTCCGTCGCTTCCTTCGCACCAGGCTGAAGCTCTTCAAGGGCGAAGTGGAGCTGGACGCCGTGATGAAGGACATCGTTCGGTGGCCCAACTCGGACATCGCCGGACATCGCGAGGTAAACTTGTGACATGAAGACCGGAAGACGGTGTGTGTGTGTGTGCGCGCGCAACCGGCAGACTGACGACTCGGACTGGGTGGGTGGCAAAAGCTCGAAGTGGCAGTCTGGCAGCTCAGATGTTTTTTTGGTTGACACCGTGCTCAGGAGAGTAGTTTGGGGTGTTAGGATTTGGCAGGGGATTCACATTAAGATTATCTTTTCTAGCTCTTTAGGGAACACAGACCAAGACAACGTTACTCGTGATAAAGGAGGGCCATTGAGTGACCAGAGAATCTTGAGCTCGCGATCGTTGATAGTTGATGCTCAGAGCCTTCGATCCCAATTCATCGAAACTTGACCCATCATGTTGAGACCCATGAAAGCAACAAGATCATACCCGAGAAGAAATAATACAAGTTATGATGTTATATCAAGTTATGATCAGTGATTTCAGATGATGCCAGGGTGAACTCAAGTTTTGCCGCAGATTTCGGCCCAGCAAGCTTGCAAAGTCGAGCTTTACAAAGACAACGCCATGGGCTTGTACCAATGTCAATGTGAGACCCCTGAGTTCCCGCAAGTTCGGTGCACGGGGCAGCCTTTGATGCTGTTATGTGTAGTATCTTGGGTAGTCCCCCCAAATCCGGTGGATTGAAGTCTGTGTCTATTCATTGATACTGTTCTCGGAGAAGAAACTGCCTGAGGGCCTCCCTGCTTTCACAACAGACCCTGAAAAACATGTCGAGCCTTCTAGTTGTTTTGCCAGTCTTTCCGGAGCACACTGTGCACATGAGCCCGCACACACTGCCCTAGCCATCAAGCAACCCATGACTTGCTCGGTTCGGCTTTGGTTGTTGGGCGTCTTCCTGTGCCTCGCAAGGCTGTGGAGCGATTGTTATTACAATGAACATCGGTGCCAGTCCAAATCGCTGAATCTCCAAGGTGGTGAAAACCAGTGGCTGCCCTGTAGGACCTAATTATTGTTAAGGCAACTGGGAGCAGTATATTCCACCAAAACATTGTTACATGCTTCCAGGTGCTTGCTAACCCCTTTGACCCATTTTGACCCGAGAGAACATAGGGTTTAAATCATGGTGACGCCCTCACGTTGTGCTGCGATGCCATGGGCATTGCGGACATCGCTTGCGATTTCGCAGTTGCAACTTCGAATGCATGGAGTTGTGACCGAGCCCGAGCCACTGACTCCACGACCAATTCCGCTTTCTCTTAGAGATCTCTTGAGCACGCACCCAGCAACCACCAGTTCCATGGTTCTTGACAAATGCAGCACACGATGCTGCTTGTCATTGGTCCTTCCCTTTGATCACTCGTGGTTTCGGACGCGGGTTTCAGGAACCACGTCCGTCCACTCCTTGGATGTTCTTTTTCCGTTGTGGAGGGTCGGACTCCGACAACGGCGTGGCACGGACGCGGTGCTACAGCTCAGAGGTACGCTCAGGGGCTCCTATGCTGAAATGAGGCCTGACCAGTTTACGATTCCAGCAGTCTCAACATGTCAAGACCATGTGCAGTGCTTACATGGTGTAGACAGTCTAAGCACAGAAGGTCCAACCCTGGAAGCTCTGGCTTACACGATTACATATATTCTTCCACGATCAGAAACCTCAATGAGACTCGGGGTGAAGGTGATCGTAAAGTTTGGTGCGTTCGGCAGGGATGGGTCTCAGTGACCGTGTCAGCTGAGCGATTTCTCAGATTCGGGTCATTGACTCCAGAATGCAGGCGAGCCCTGCAGTGAATGTGGGTGTCGCTGAATGTCATAGAATAATGATTAATCTTTGATGGTTTTGATAGCCATGGTTCAGCAATTCGTAAGTTATTCCAAGTGAAGCGACTTGCTGAGTAGTTGACTTTCACGTAAAACCCCGCACAGTTTTGCAGTGCATTCCCAAAGAGTCAAGGGAAAGCCCGGAAGAGGACTCCAACTCAATGTGTCGTTTGAGCACCCGATCCACAAAACCCACTCAATTTGTTTCAGGGGAGCGAGGACGCTACTAGGGGCTCCTGGCATCGGTACTAGGAACAAGGGCCTTACTACTAGGAACAAGAAGCTAGTAGAAACAATAAGCTAAATAGAATCTATATAACTAAAATTGTATAGTAGCAAAGAAGGCTACTAGGACCTTTTCAGGGATACCCAACTGCCAACCCGTTCGTCGCTGGACCCGGAAGCAAGCACAATGAATCCGACGCTCCCTGAGCACGCAAGGTGTTGCAGGGATACAGGGCAGCGGGCCAGGAGAGACGGTGAGCGAAAAAGGAGTTGGTGACATGAGCGCCTTTGCGTGTCTCAGAATGATGAATGATTGATTTTTCTCCAAATGAGGCGACCCTGATTTGAATCTATATACCTAACCTACCCATCTCATTGCCAAGTCTTTGGGAAGACTGGGGAGACTTTTGGGGAGTTGCCCTGACATTAAGGTCGGAATATGTCGGAATGCTCCCAAGCACGTCGCCCTTCAATTGGTTCACGGTGAGTCCTTTGATGGTTTGATTTCGCGATTGCCGTTTTCTTCCAAAGGTGGTGCTCGGCCCTCAGGGATCCTCAGGGCCCCTGTGGGCCCTGTCGCTTGATATCGGCGGGGTTCGGCGGGTGTGTGGCTTACGATGCCTCGATGCCTTGCTTCGTACTGTTAACATGAGTTGATGCAGGTGTTTATTAGGAGGTTGGGGTATCGTAGCAGGGTGAGTTTGAAACCATCCGTTGCTGTTGCTCATTGTATTCCTGGTAGGCTTTGATTGCCGCGAATGTCGCCAGATTTGCACAACCCCCCCGCACAACCCCCTCAGATGGACGGCTTGAACAGACTTCAGCAAGACTTTGTGTAAACCATTGCGAACTGTATAACATCATTGCCACAATATCTGAAATCTCGCAAGTACCTGAGGGGTTGTTCATGCAATCACTCGGCGACCAACACGTTGCCCGCCAAATGGCGTTCGGGCATTTGTGGCATAGGGACACAAAGGGGCATCTGCACCAGCAGAAGAAGAATCCTGGGCCCCAAATGCCCGATCAACGAGACACCACGGTACAGTACGTTCAACCAGCATGTGGGTCACTACCGCTACACTCTTGCATCATTTAAGGTAGGTGGGTTATATGGTGCTCCTTCACTTAGGGTGTTGGCTAACAGAGGATGCCACCAGCTTCTTCCACCCATTCTAGATCAAAGCCAGCCAATCGCTCGATGATGGCCATAGGAGTCCTAGTCTTTCATTGGGCCTGATGCTACGCTGTAGCGCTGCTAATGGGGCCACCAACCAGTAGCCACCAATGCCATGGCAAATGTAATGATAACAAGCATCTCGCAGATCTCGCACATGAGGGCATCCTGACGTGAACAAACTCTTTGATGGTTGGACACGAGGGACTGATGTTGACAGAGCACCAAGAAATACCAAGAGATCATTCATCCATGGCACCTGTTTTCGCGCTGATGGAATGGAGACTTTGTTTTATGCGGTCCCCGCAGCATGGGCAAGCCCTCGGACAAGCGATGGCAAGAACGGACCTCACTGCATCCAGTAAGACGTCCTTGGAGATGTCAGAAGACAGGTCACCACTGTGTGCTCCCGGAGCTTAGTGGCACATCTGTGTTGTGCCACAATGTATCATAGATTTTGCATGCATGCCAATGCTCTTCGTGGAAAGCACTGGGCTCTAAGTGCGATTACTGCAAGAAGAGCATCAAAATTCAGTGATACCTTGTCCTTCAAGACACGCTGAACATGGCAGGTGCAGTTTAGCCACGCTGAGAAAAAGCAAGTCTTGGGGGCCTTGGGTGACAGCGAAACCCCAATCCCAAACCATAAGCCTCAAATCCAAGTCATTCTGTTTCTTTTGTGTTGCGTTTCGCACAATGGATGTTGGCAAACTGACCCACATCCCCATGCAAGTGGCCGTTTTCAGAACAAGCCACCTCCGAGAGAGCCAAGCCCACGCAGACCGAAAGTTAGCTAGACACGATAGATAGATAGATAGATTCACCGATAGATAGATAGATGGATTGGTTTGGTTTGGATTTTGGATTGGATTGGATGGATGGATTGATAGATAGATAGATCGATAGATAGATAGAGGACGGGAATTCAACCATCACTAAAATCATAGTGTCCTTCAGCATTCCCGGAGCTCGGCTGAGGATGGGGTTGACGCTTCCAAGTACGTGTCTGTGTGGAGACCCAGGACGATCATCGAAAGAACAACTCAAACCTGCACGAAAGCACCACGGCAAACTGTACGGAGCACTAAGGAGCTCACGGACTGCATCTTGGAAGCAGCTGGCAACACCTTGAAGCTCAAGGAAAGCAAAGATGAAGATGGGTGTGTGTGTGGGCTGAGCGGTGCAGGGGGAGAGAGAGAGAGAGAGAGAGATAGGGAGAGACATACAAAACACATTTGGATTGAAACAGTTCTTCATGTGGGGGGTAAATTGATTAAGAGTACTGCAGAAAGAGGGCCCGACTAAACTTTGGGAAGCCATGGTAGGTAAGCCTTCCACAAGATGTTTACAATATTTGGTTTGCTATGGTTTGGCCCCAGCTCGTCAGGGTGAAGGAAGGCCGAAGCTTGCCGAAGTAACCTCAAATTTGTCCGCTTCACCTGATTCTGGTGGTGAGATTCTGGTATATAAATAAGTCCATGGTTTGCATAACGGGGAACCCATGGGAGTCCATATATATATATATATACACACTATAACTGCACCCGGGCAAATCCTGGACTCAACTCTTCGAGCGGCCAGGAGTTGAATGCCGTCAGCAAGGTTTGCAGTCTGATGCCTAGATAGTCAGATCCCAGCCGGTGCTCTGATGTACTTGTTGCTTCCGAAGCTGTTTGGGTTCTCATGAATTTGAGGTTTAGTTGGCAGTCTATCTCACTTGCTCACGAATTTTGGTGGGCCGGCCCCAATGCCCAAGTAGGCCAAGCACTACGGTTGGTCGCAATGGCCTTCTTGTGCTAGCTTCAATGAGGGTTGGAGCATGAGGAGTGACCAAGTCTA